ACCGCTAACGCCAACCTGTCCTAACAAACGAGGCCCTAGTTAGCTCAGCGTCAGCAGTCGGTCCAACGCACAAGCGACAGTGGTACAGAACCTGTTATCTTAAGAAGTAAATTTCAGTATTTAATAGGTGGAATTGCATTATATCTACAAATAAATGAATTCATACTTGTAATGCTTCGTATCTACCACTAAAAATATTAAATACCAAAACAATAGTATATATAAGACATGTTAACTCGATTCTATCATGTGGTACTTTTTGGTAGATGAAGGTTGAAGGNATTACATTTCTTAAAATGATTTAATAATTCATATCATTCAGCCTCAGTCCATTCTCCATTACTATACAAATCTTCAAGACTTTCTTTCCCCCCCTCCCTGACAGGCTTCTCATATCCTCCATCATAGTATATGCTATGGCGAAAGGACATAAAGTGGTTTATTTAAATAGAAATTTACAGAATGAAATATGTTGAGATTCACGTAAAGTTAGTAATTAATTGTAACATTAATATTTAATAATTTTTTAATAAACATCTATTTAAATACTGCCTCAAATAGAAGTAATAAAAAAAAAGTATTTTTTAATAAATAATTTTGCCGATATTCATCTGTAAACTGAAATACTTATTTTCTTTATGAGTTAAATAGTATTTATTTGTTTTCGCTTTCCAAAGAAGTAAAAATTGCACTGCACATTTAACACGCAATTTTATCTTTTACAGAAGTAAAATAATCTACCTACCACTTTGCATTAAATTTAATAATCTGCTGATATAATTTTTTTTCTCTTACTGTATGACGTCATGGTGAAAATGAAAATCAAATCGACGTATAATAGTAAATGGTAGAATAATCAATACAATATTTGAATTTTTACAGTGGCTCAGAGTAATAGGCAACAGTACTTTTACATATCTGTTGTTATGGATGGTGTTTTCAATATAAATGTAAACAATAACAATCTCGAGATCAATCTGTTTGTCTAAAGGCGAGGTTTCTTAAGACAAGCGGCGTCATCTGGGCGTCAGCGGGACGTTGACGTACCGCTAACGCCAACCTGTCCTAACAAACCAGGCCCTAGTTAGCTCAGCGTCAGCAGTCGGTCCAACGCACAAGCGACAGTAGTACAGAACCTGTTATCTTAAGAAGTAAATTTCAGTATTTAATAGGTGGAATTGCATTATATCTACAAATAAATGAATTCATACTTGTGATGCTTCGCAACTACCACTAAAAATATTAAATACCAAAACAATAGTATATATAAGACATGTTAACTTGATTCTATCATATTGTACTTTTTGGTAGTTGAAGGTTGAAGGTCCATCATATGGTATGGCGAAAGGACATTAAGTGGATTATTTAAATAGAAATTTACAGAATGAAATATGTTGAGATTCACGTAAAGTTAGTAATTTATTGTAACATGAATATTTAATAATTTTTTAATAAACATCTATTTAAATACTGCCTCAAATAGAAGTAATAAAAAAGAAGTATTTTTCAATAAATAATTTTGCCGATATTCATCTGTAAACTGAAATATTTATTTTCCTCATGAGTTAAATAGTATTTATTTGTTTTCGCTTTCCGAAGAAGAAAAAATTGCACTGTACATTTAACACACAATTTTATCTTTCACATAAGTAAAATAATCTATCTACCACTTTACGTTAAACTTATCTTTTGATATAATTTTTCTTTCTTATACAGTAAGACGTTATGGTGAAAATAAATATCAAATCTACGTTAAGTGGTAGAATAATCAATACAGTAGTTGAATTTTTACAGTGGCTGAGAGTAATAGGCAACAGTACTTTTACATATCTGTTGTTATGGATGGTGTTCTCAATATAAATGTAAACAATAACAATCTTGCCTTATCTGGGCTTCAGCGGGACGGTGACGTACCGCTGACGCCAACCTGTCCTAACAAACCAGGCCCTAGTTAGCTCAGCGTCAGCAGTCGGTCCAACGCACAAGCGACTAGGGGGCGGACGATTCCATAACGTTAAAAATTTAAGAGTTTCGTCGGAGGAGTAAAAATAGGGAAATTACACTGAGAATATTGGATATTTTTTCATTCGCTTCCTTGGCGTATTGGCTAAATTTCAAAGGTTTGCCGTCACCGTTTGCATTTGTTTATGTTTATTTTTTGNCTTAAGAAGTAAACTTCAGTATTTAATAGGTGGAATTGCATTATATCTACAAATAAATGAATTCATACTTGCAATGCTTCGTAACTACCACTATAAATATTAAATACCAAAACATTAGTATATATAAGACATGTTTCGTGGATTCTCTCATGAAGTACCTTTTGGTAGAGGAGGATTGACATAGTCCATAGTCGATTAATAAAAATCCCCTCATTGGTGACCCGGACGTGATAACAACTTGTCAATATTGAAGTACGATCCACATTAAATAGTTGATTTGCTTAAAAATATGCAGCTCAGAGGAGAAAAAAAAAATCCGGTGAAGTAAATAAAGACTCCCGGCCAATAAACAAAAAGAAAAAAAATGAAGGATAAAAAAATAATGTGCGAAATGCTATAAACGAAAAAAAAAATTGAAGAAAAAAATATATAATGAGCAAAAAATTGATATAAATAAATAAGTAGCATGAATCAACTAGTGGTTGGTAGGTAACCGTTCATCAAATTCTATCACAGATAAAATTCTTAAAAATGGAGTAATGTGGCGTAACTACCACTATAAATATGAAATACCAAATCACTAGTATATATAAGACATGTTAACTTGGTAATCCGATTCGAACATTGGATCTTGCCGAGTAAGGTTGTTTTTAACCTTTTACGACCTTACCTGCACTATTGTGCAGGTCAAAATAAAAAAACTGATAATCCTTTTTCCGTATCATTTAAAGCCGAATCTACACAATTGGGATAGTTAATTTTTTTCAGCTGTTTCGATTAAACATCACCAGATGGCAGTAGCAGCTCCACACAATTAGTTATTTATTTTTATGAAGACTCCACGTGTTGTCAGCAAATCGACAAATCGTAAGTACTGTCATAAATTCTTTAAAATATTATGTTTAGAGTTTGTTTAGATTTAGTTTTTATTTTAATATATTGTATTTATGATTGGAATTGTTTCGGCCTTAAAAAAAGTAATTCAGCTTTAAAAAAGTTTGAATTACTAGAAACCTACACAATTGTGTAGGTCTGGCGTTTACTATTTCAATAATAATAAGCACATGTTCTTGGAATTTTAGATGAGTCGAGAACGATATTTGACACAGGAGGAGATCTTGGAACTACTTCAAAAGGATTATTTTGATTTAAGTGACATCTCTGATGAAGACGATACTGTTGAAATTGAGAAAATTAACAACTTCATTGATGACGAGAATAGACCTGACAGAGAAGCTGGGTGTTGGATATGAGTGAAATCTCGGCATTAAGCGCGAAGCGCTTCTAACATATTCATCGATTCTGTTGAGACATAAAACTAAAAGGTCATATGTGATTGAAAGTTCTAAGCTTAAAGTTCAGATTAAAAGTTCTTAATGAGGTGAGGCATGAGTTGCTGGCAAGAGAATATTAATTGGAAGGGGTATTCCCCTTGATTAAAGTCTTGAGCAGGTTTAGCACTTCTTGATCTTTCATCAATTCTTGAAGTTCTTTGATGAGGCTAACAAGTCGATGAGCACTGGAAGTTGGGGTAGTATCCCTGTTCGATGATCTCCTTCTACTGGGGCGAGCCTCGCAGCCAGTAAAGTTAGCAGTGTGATCTTTCAGGCAGTTACAGCACTTGGCCGGGGTATCTCTGGGCTTTTTGCATTGGTACGAAAAGTGCCCTTCGGCAAATTTCATACATCTAGCATCTTTTGTGCAGCTACGTTGAGAATGTCCAAAGCCCTGGCATCTGAAACACTGTATTGGTCTGCTTCCACCTCGGCACTTCTCTACGGAGATCGGGAACTGCTTTAAACTTTGGATGTTGAAGATCTTGGTCTGCTTCACCAATAGAGGAGTGACAACAAGGTAGAGGGGGAATAGCCTATAGGCTCCTCCCACTTTCTTCCTGAACTGGACTACTTTGGAAACTTCGATGTTTGATTTTCCTAATTCAAGGGAGATCTCGTCGATATTAAAATTATCTGGGAGACCTCGGATGAGCACTTTTTCATTCTTGGCTGGAAAGACTTTTTTAGCAGCAGTTGGAGTCACTTGAGCTTGGGTGGGCGTCTCCTCCGAAGTCTCAGATGTTTTGTCCGGATGTGGTGGGGAAACTGAGGCAGAAGTGCTGTTATTAGGCTTGGTTGATTTGGCTTTTTTCCTTTTCCTCTTCTTCCTCTTTTTAGCAGGAGGTTCTTTGGAATTTTCAGAATCTGAAGCCGTAGCCCCGAAACTGGTCTCCATTTTTCCCCCGCAGGGGTGGGGGCGATCTTGAGTATTGGAGTGGTAATCACTGATACTGGACTGGTTTTCTTGGGTACTGGAGTGAAAGTCTCTGGAACTGGAGTGATAGTCTCTGGAACTCGAGTGGTAGTTTCATGAATTGGCTAGCGCTCCTTTTTTTCTTCTGTACTGAGGCTGCATTTTTCTGTAGTTCTCTCATATTTCTGCAGACTATGGTAATATTGTAATGAAGTCTTTGAAAATAGTCGTAAATCTGTCCAAATTCACATGTATTAAGAAATACACTGAGCAATTCTCTTGTAGATTTCAATTCATTTCTAGGAAAAAAAAGAGTAGAACTCTACTAAGTCAATGAATTGATTGGATGGTAGGAATTTCCGCGGAACATTACTGGCTACAATGGCTTCTTCAAATGTATCATATTCAATAACATCCACGTAATCTCCATCCGATTCTACTGGTTCAGGTGTTTTTGGGCGGCTGGGTGGTAGTACCTTTCCACCTCGAGCTGTTCTGTTGTATGACATAACTACGGAGCTGAGTAAAATACACGTCTTGTCTCGAGCAAGGCTTGAGCTGCACCGCTCGGGCCACGTTCATGGCTGACAGAGAAGATGACAGTGAAGAGGATGAAGAAGAAATAGAGGAAAATATTGTGGTACATATTAATTCATAAGGATTAAACGTTCTAAATACACCATAAAATAAGCTATCTCTACTGTTATTTTAGGAGTACACGTACGTTAACTTACTAAATTTTTAAATACTACTTTTCGTTTCTTTCTCTTAGGCTGTCCCAGAAAATTCTGGTGCAAGAAAAAAATGCAAACAGGTTGTATGGAAAAAGAAAAGATTTCAAGGGAAACCTTGTCCAAAAATTTTTAATCCAGAACAAATTACGAATCCTCCAACAGTTAGAACACCAATAGAGTATTTTGAAGATTATTTTAAAGATGATTTCTTTGAGAGTGCTGCTGTGTACACAAATATGTACTCAGTGTTAAAAAATGGAATTAGTATGGATACCAACAAAGAAGAGCTACAGAGAGTTTTTGGTATAAACCTAATAATGGGCTGTATTCGTTATCCTAGGTTGAGATTATACTGGCAAAAACAGTACAGTTTTTCTGCAATTGTACAGTGCATGCCACGAGATAGATTTTTAAATTTGAGAAACTGTTTTCATCTGGTTGACACAGCAAGTAAAACACCACAAGTAAATAATAAGCTATGGAAAGTTCAGCCAATTATCAACCAAGTCCGTAATGTCTGCTTGAATTTACCAAGAGATCAGAGAAGTTTTTCGATCGATGAGCAGATGATACCATTCTTGGGACGTGCCCCAGTAAAGCAGTACGTAAAAAATAAGCCGCGCCCTGTAGGATTGAAAAACTTTGTTTTAACTGCATCATGTGGACTAGTTTTAGATTTTATAGTGTACCAAGGAGAAACAACAAACTTTGTCCACAAAGAGCTAGGTTTAGGACCTGCTGTGGTACTTACTTTGGTCCGAACCTTGCCGGTGGACAGTTTTGTGTATTTTGATCGTTATTTCAATACAATACCGTTGCTCGAAGAATTAAAAAAACAGAAAATTGAGGGAACTGGCACTATCCAAACAAACAGAGTTAAGGGGATCCCATTTGTCAAGTCAACTGCTCTTAAAAAGGGAGAAAGCATTTCGTTGGTGTATAAAGGTTCGCCATCCCTGGCCTAGGAAATGTGTGAAATATAAATCATTTCATAATTTGCCGACTAATTTTAGGCTATTTTAAATTTGCATTATATACAATGCCTAGGCATTCTACAGAAAGCCGGATTTCATACTTTGCCGGTATCTGATACGATACTCTCTTTTTAAACAGAGCTCGTAAGGTCCTAAAGATACTGAAATGGGGGCATGAAAACTAATGATAAAAATGATAAAATATTTAATTTCATTAACTCAAAATATCTGGTCTCAAAATTTTAATTTCAAAGTTCAATATAACTTTTACAATATTGATGATCTTACGTTTTTAAATGAATCCTGTTAAAATATGAAAATGCATATGTTTACTTTAACGAGTATAAAATGATGAAGACACAAATGTAAAACAGTATAATTGATGATAAAAACTCAACTGGTTTCAAAAAATATGAAGAGGGAAGTAGAAGTCGACATGTTTCGAGCGTTCAAATACTATCCCCCATTCTCAAAACTTGTCAAGCTTGAATAACTTGTGACTTTTATTATTGGACACTCAAAACATGTCTATTTTTATTATCATCTATTATTTTTTAAATCAATGAAGCTTTTATATTTTCGATTCAGTTTTTTTGGGATTATCTATTTAGTTACACAACATATTATATTATTTCACACGATATTAAAATAAGTTTTACTTAAGTTATAGGCACAGGTTCTAAGATTGAAAAAATAATAATTCGCTACTTTGTAAAAAAATCAATGCAGTATAATTTTATTAATTTTTTGCTGCAAGCCTTAACATTTTTATTTAAGGACATAAAAAATTTCCGTTTGCAATTGAAATTTCAAAAGTCGAATGTGAAAATGGAATGTCCCCTAGCACCCGGAATCAAAATTAAATAACGTTTCTGTTCTACTGGAAGTTGTTTGAAAAGGTATTTTTTATATATCGATTCCAAAGTTTATTCTACATATATTTTAGGGTATACTTTCGGAGTATTTTGATCAAGTTTATTTTTACACCCTTATTTTTGCTTAAAATTATTAAATAATTTGTTTAAAATAAATTATTCAAGCTACATAATTTAATGCATTTATAGTATAATAGTAAACGGAGCTTCCACCGCACATCCTTAACCGAGATCATTAAATAAATGGAATAAGCGCTTAGATAAATAATAAAAGTTAATTTCTTCCTCGTTTTTATTTTCAAGGAAATATGTTTCGATCAAGCAGATTTCATTCTGGAAATGAAATTATTGACTAGGTCCCTTGTAGCAATATCATTCTTATCCTCTTTTGACGAAATATAGGAAAAATTGGTTTTCACAGTTTCTGTAAAACGTATGTTAACCTTCTTGCTACGTTTTTAAAAAAAAAATTTTTAATTTTTAATCAAAAAATCAAAATAAGTTCGGGAATTGCGTATTTTTTATTGTATTTTTTAAAAATCAGATGATTCTAAAATTGCCACGGCTTCGGAATCTTCATACAAATTTCAATTTTTAGTATTTCCTGCTTAACAAAATAAAACATTTTTTCTGATGACAAATTATACTACAACAATATCTAGGGAATCGTGCTAAAGTAAAAAATTAAACAAAATAGTTTAGTATATTATCCGGAAAAAAAATCTACATGGAATCATAAGGAAGGAGTAAAAGATATAATGAAATAATTAGTGAATCAGATAATTAGTCAGATAATTAAAAATTTAATTTCACAACTAAGATGTTAGGACGACATTTAAGATACTGAGATATTTTAAGATGCTTGAAAATTTTGGCTACGTATTCGACAGCTTTTTATGTTCGGTATCTTTATACTCTTTGTAGTGACTTATAAAACATCAACACTATTTTAAATAATCTATGTTGAAGTCACAAGAAACAAAACAAAAAGAGACAATCAGTAATTTATACTCTTTTTTTCGAGAAAAATAGTATGCTTAGTAAATAATCAGCTGTTTTGCATTAAATAATTTTAACATCGGAATGTTTTTAATTTCTTAACAAGGTTTTATTCTTAGCTGGCAGACAATAATTCTTTTTAAAAAAACTTGACTATAATTTAAAAAGGAACTTTACTTTAAGGAAAACCTAAATTAAAGTACTAAAACAATTTATTAGTAATATTAATGAAGAAATAATAAACGTAGTAGGGTAAAGAATAAGATTTCTAAAAATGTTAAAATTTAATTAAATAGTTGGTAAAATAGTTCTGCGAAACACTTCCGGGCAGGAGATTAAAAAATTACTTTTAAGATTAAGACGATATATAAGATATGTTGAGAAATTTGCAATGATTTGAGAGATGCTTAAAAATGTTGACTACGTATTTTTATTAATATTTATAAAAAAATATATTCAAGAAATTGACAAATATTTTATTCCAAATCTATTCATACGTAAATATATTATTGAAATTGTATCAGTTATTGAGAAAAAAAATAATCACTTTAAATAAACACAATCTGGTGTATAATCATATTCTATCAGATGCATGCTTATATAGAACTTGGCATTCGTTGAATAAAATGTTTTTTATTTAATAAAATGTTTTATTCAAATTTCTTTACTAAATTGCAAATAGAATTTTAGACGACTAAAAAAGAAACATCATATTTTATATTTTTAAAGAAATAAAAATAAAAAGATTAGCAAACGATTATTAGCGAAAAAAATAGGAATGAAATTTTACGCTACGCGCGCTAAGTCAAGTTCCTCGTAAGTTTATCACATTTTAATATTAATCGCCCCAATTAGTTATTTCTTTATTGTCGCCAAATTATTTTTTTAAAAATAATTAATTTTAATTTTTCTCAGCTTCTAATAAATAAAAACAGTTGAAACTTTAGATTTTTCAATTGAAAAATATGTAGATTAATATGGTATAAAAAAATTCATACCTTATAATTCAATATTTTTTCATCCTCACTTTAATTAAATAATAAAAAATAATAAATAATTATTAAAAATTATTTTTTGCATGAAATTATCTTTGGGTAAATGAGTTTTATGAGTGGGTGCAATTTTTTTTGAATTGCTTCATTAGTTTTTAAAATATGACTGAAAACGCAAAAAGCGAAATTAACATTAAGGGGTCGAAACTTTGAATCGCTCTCCTGACTAAACTATGGGGACCACATTTCCCAGATTGCGGCTACCCCCTATATTTTGAAGATAAGAAATCCAAATATGTAAAAAAAAATATATGTTTATTCAGAGAAAGTACGTTTTTGTGTTTGATTTCATAACTTTATTAATAGTTAGCACTAGGACTGGGCGATGTTAAGATTTCAGCATCGTGATGCATCGCCACTCAAACATCACGATGTTTCGATACATCGCGATGTCACATTACTGTTTCACATTTGGTTTTGCTAAATTTTGCATTCTTGCACACCTTTACTTTTTATTTATTTGATGCTACTGTAATGTAAGACTAAAACTAAAATTTTAAATATACATATTAGATTTTTAGAATTTAAACTTTGTGTGTTTGGGGAAAAAAGAAAGTAAGATTTCAAGAGGGATATTCAGAAAAAATTTATAAAAAGTGAAAATCTGCCAAATGCATCAAATTTATATTATACGAACTATATTCATTTTATAGGTATTTAATTTCAATAAAGTTATATAAAAAATATAATCAATAAGCGAAAAAAGTAAAGATAGGAGTAAATTAAATGTATCACTTTATATTCTGGTATATCAGTGCTTAGTAAATTGATTATTTTCTTCTTTTGGATTAAAATAATTCGATAGACTGTCTTTTTCAATTTAAATAAAACACATCTTTTCAAGCTTCAAACTTTTCTGAAAACAATCGGAAGTTTTTAAATTAAAGAAAGAGGGTATTGAATAAATAGTTAACTTGTGAAACGAATAATTCAATAAAATTTTACATGCAGTTTAAAATAAATGAGAAATTATCTTTAAGGATGAATTTAAAAATAAGAATAGTATTTCAACCTTATCCAACAAAAATTATTGTTAATTTTCAACATTCTTAAAAATAGTTAGGTATCTTAGACAAAAACACATTAAAAAAATTATTACATTAAGAAATAATTTTTCTAGAAAGTGAAATTGGAAGAAATTGGTGCATTTTTTCAGCTTTCATATTGTAATAAATTTATCTTAACAGGGATATTTTAGCAATTAATATTTGATATTTGTGGATAGAGTGCAGAGCAGGAAAAAAAATTACTGTTGACTTCGTAATTGAATTTCAAAAAGTCTGATTTTTTGAAATTTATTTTTCAGAAACTATTCAACTAATTTCTTTTAACTTTTTTATTTTAAAGTAAAAAATTATATTTTTTTTAAAAAAAATGTATACCTTAATTCAAACTTTTTTAGACTATTACTAATAAAAAAATTAATTTAAATCATTTTCACATAAAATTGTCTTTGGATAAACGAATTATGTCAGCCAACTGTAGAAATAAAATAGATACAATTATGAAAATAAAATTTTAAATGCGCATTGAGCCAGCAATTTAAAAATATTTATAAACAGAAAAATAAAAAACGTAATAGAAAAAGATAAAAAAAAAATATGGATTGAGAAAGCTAGAAAACTTAGAACAGCCGATGCGTATAACCTCTTGACCTTTCATTCTCCAGAATTTCTTGAAGAATATCTTTCAATAATTTATTGAAGGCAGTAAATATATTGAAGGTAGTAACCTTCAATAATTTTGAGGAAATAGAGAAAAACCAGTATAAAAACAAAATTTCCTGACAAAGGATACGATGGAAATTATTATGGATTCAATATTGTAAAAATCAATTATTTGAAAATTTCTTTTCAAAATTATTGCTGACCTAATGTATTATTATGTTGCTAAACTATATTTCGTGGAAATAAAATTTAACAGCACACTCTTATTAAAATTGTTATAAATAAGGAAGATCGAAAAGCAGTCAAGTCGAAAAAGAAAATGCTAAAGAAATAAAAACGAAACGACTGTCTTAAAAAGAATATTTATATTTGATAAGTTGTCGGTTCAAAAGCTCGTTTGCAAAAAGTTTTTGCAAAAATATTCGATTTTTTTTTCATATTTTCTAACAATAATAATAATAATCATTTTTTAATACTTGAAAACGTGGTCATTATGCAAAATTGCAGCTTTATATAAAATTATTAATGAAAACATTTTATCCATTTTGAAGGAATGCAATTCTTCAGATTTAACAAAGAAAAATAAATAGGTAAAAAAGTAAATAAAAAGTCTTATCGAAACAGACGATCGTTTCTTCAACAGGACAAAAATGATATCAAAGTATTGTCAAATAACAAAACATAAATAATCCCCCGAGAATCACTTTCTTTTCTTGGATTTGCACGAAATGAAGAAAGCACTTTTTCATCTTTCATTGGCGATGAGTTAGTTTCACTCCTAGTCACATCGGAAATCATCGTGTGAGCACATCGTTACTTGATAATTCGCGAAGGAAGAAACACAGAGAAAAGATCGTCTAGTCACATCGGAAATCATCGTGTGAGCACATTGTTACTTGATAATTCGCGAAGGAAGAAACATAGGGGAAAAGATCGTCACGACAATCGATGTCGCCGCATGATCGGGGGAAATGCTCTTCGCGGGTGCTTGTGAACATCGATGTTGAATCTGAAGAATCGCTCTTCGCGGCATCGGGAAACATCGCGTGAACATCGGACTTTCCGATGCTTCGTGAAAGACGCCAACCTTAACATCGGATCGGCGATGATCACACAACATCGATGTTTTCCGATGAATCGATGTATCGCCCAGTCCTAGTTAGCACTAATTAAATAGCTTATTTGAGGTCACCCCCAGGAACCATTAAGATCGACAGCTAGTACGTGAAAATCCAATCATTAAAACGATAGTTATTCAGGCTGATATCTTTTTTTTGCGGACTGTACATAGTAACATGACGTTAATCGTACTTAGACATATTTTGAAGTTGCTTGTACTTAGAAAAATTCGAGGCGCTTCAACTTTGAAAAATTCAGATAGTGTTTTTATGTAGAAATATTTTGAAGTTGCTTGGAGTTTGAGAAATTTTGAAGTTGTTTGTACTTAGACATGTTTTGAAGGAGTTTCAACTTTGAAGAATTCTGAAAACCTTAATACTTAGAAAAATTCTGAAGTGGTTGGCACTTAAAAATATTTTGAGGTATTTTAGACTTAGTAATATATTTTCAAACTGTTTGGACTTTGAAAAATTCTGAAGTTGTTTGTAATTGGAAACATTGTGACGTTGTTTATTTATACTTCGAAATATTTTCATATTTTAAATATTTTTTACACATAAAAACCTTAAAACTTGTGTATTATGCTTTGTTTTAGTTCCTTGAATTCATAAATGAAATTAAAAAAAATATGTTGATTTTTTGCATTTTTTTTCCTCGGTGAAAGAAGTGGTTAAGATTAAACTCTTTTTTACCGTTTTCGACAGTATTCGGAAGAGTTTGAAAACTGCAAATCAGGGAATTGAATGAATGTTATTTTATTTTAGAGATAAACTTGGATGACAAGAAACATTTCTCTCAGGGAAGTAAACTGAATTGTGCTTCTGCAAAGTGTGGGGCGAAAATTCTCTCATCGAATCCAGAATCTTCCTTTCGAATGTCCATACCCCTTTACGACCTTTCCTGCACAATTGTGCAGGTCAACATAAAAAAATAAAAATAATAATATTCCTTTTTCCGTATCATTTAAAGCCGAATCTACACAATTGGGATAGTTAGTTTTTTTCAGCTGTTTCGATTAAACATCACCAGATGGCAGTAGCTGCTCCACAGGATTAGTTATTTACTTTTATGAGGACTCCACGTGTTGTCAGCAAATCGANTAATTGTTTTTATTTACATATCATTTGCATTATATTATACAATATTTTTTTAAACTTTATTTCATATAAATTTTTTAAAAGAAAATAGGTTGTCTTAGTGGTACAGACTTGCAAAATAAATTTACTCTTAAGTGAGGCTATTACAGTCCCTATTAGACTCACTCATAATATTCTATGTAAAATTGTAATTATCAGCATTGCTTTTACTTGGATGCACTTGTTTATGTTCGCGTATCAATTGATTTAACATTGTATTGCAATAAATAAATACACATAGGAAGTCTATAAAAAATCTGAATGAAAACACGTATGCTTGACTATAAAAGTATTGCCTATAAACTCGTGCAAATCATGTCATTATTAAAACACTACAGTGCGTCTAATCGTTGGATATTGTAATATACTAATCTATACTAATTTTATATGCCGACCGGCCTGCGTAGGGGGCAGGTCCTTGCATCAGAAAGGTCCTGGGTTCGAATCCCATGGATGTTTCTTTCTCTCTCTGTGTGTCCTTTGTGTGTGAATGTGACCTGCCCTATAAACGGGTTGTGTGAATGGCGTGGCAGAATTCGAATTCCTGGCTATAGATGGCGCCACTGAAAAACAGGAACAATCGCACCCCCACTGTCTAAACAGGCATACGACAAAAAAAACTATTTTATATTTATATAATTTATCGTCTAATATATCCTATCTTTAAATTTATAGTATATAGGGTCTCCCATTGATCGTGAACTAGTGCAAACCAGTTTCTGTCGGGTAAAAACAATAAAGCTGACAATTAAAATTTTACATAGAACCTTAGAGTGCGTTCCAATAATTTGCCTTGCTCTACACATATAATGTTATTTTTTGTGGTCCAAAAGAAGAGAGGACTCCTTTTTTGGTCATTTCTTCATAAAATGCAGATTCTTAAAACCATCTGTTCTTTCTTCCCATCCCTCAATAAAGGGAATACATTTTCTGTGATTTATTTTTGCATTCCTTTTTGTGGGTCATTTAATGTGTCATAAAAGGGAGGAGTTCGGTGTTTGCGGTATGTGAAGGTTCACTATTGCGGTGTTTCCCAAAGCGTGGTACGCGTACGGGTATGGGAACAGTTTAGTGGGCGTTCTTGTGCGAAATATCTTGCAACTAGCGAAAATTTCAAACAATTTTATTTAATAACAAAACTAGCCACGAAAATTTATGATGACGTATTTTTCTATTGTCTATTTTTTGCAGAGTTAACAGTTAATAATGAGTGGTGTCAACAGCCAGTTGTGATTTTTAACTTTTGTGCAATTTTTTTATAGTAAAGGTTTGTAATAAATTCTACTTATTTTGATTAGTTTTATGAAACATAATTTTTATCTTTAACATAGAATACGGATCGCTGGATAGTATCTACGAAATGTTGTACCAAAAAAGAAAAATAAACATATTTTAAAAAAAATACAAAAAAAATTTTATTAGTGGTACACAGCGTTACGAAACATTTAGAAAGGGTGCACAAAAGTCATAAGTTTGGGAAACACTGGTATATGGGTGATTCTCACTGTCCCTTGCTCGCACAATTCACTGTCCATTGCTCCAAGATCTAATACTATAATACTAAAAGAACTTTTTAAAAAAAAATTAATAAATAGCATTGCTGTTAGCCTTTTAAAATGACTTTGCACTAGCATTAATTTAATTGAATATCAAAATGTCATTTTCCTGGCATGTCCCAAACAATATTTCCAATAATGACTAGCTTCAAAACTTCCCATACATTTTTCAAAATCTAATTTTTTTTATCTTATCCTATGTAAGCATTTCTAGAATATACGCAGAGGGTATTGTTTACTAAAACTTCGTTTAAAATAATTTTTTCTGTCAATTAATAATTTGTTTGTCCCATGAAAATCTGTCATTTTCCTGGCTACTTTTATTTAGTGATTTATAACCAAAATAGATAGCGCCAGGAATTAATATCTTNACCTTGCCAATGGACAGTTTTGTGTATTTTGATCGTTATTTCAATACAATACCGTTGCTCGAAGAATTAAAAAAACAGAAAATTGAGGGAACTGGCACTATCCAAACAAACAGAGTTAAGGGTATCCCATTTGTCAAGCCAACTGCTCTTAAAAAGGGAGAAAGCATTGAACATGTGTCTGACAGTGGAATCGTAGTAGTTGAGTGGAAAGACAACAATAAAGTTGTCATGGCATCAACTTGTACAGGACGTCATCCGCTACAAACTGTCAAGAGGTGGTCCAAGGAAGAAAAAGCAAGAGTTGATATCTCTTGCCCATCTATCGTCAAGAATTATAACTCCTCAATGGGGGGTGTGGACATTTGCGACCAGCAAATGGAGGCTTACCGAACGTGGTTTAAAACAAAAAAGTGGACCTGGAAAACAACTGTTCATTTCCTTGACTTGGCAGTTGTAAATGCATGGTTTCTGTATGTACGAGATGCTAAAGCGAATAAGTTACGTCGAAAAAACACTCTTGATTTATTAGCGTTTCGTCTAAGTGTGGCCGAGAGACTGTTAGATGTACCACTACCGAGCAAGAAGAGATCCCGTGCAGTCCTCAGTGCCAGCGAAGAAGAAGAGAATGAAGACGATACTGTTCAGTCATGTAGATCTAAATTCTATAATCCACCCAAAAGACTACCTTCTGAAAGGAAAAGATTGGATGCCACTAGTCACTGGCCTTGCTTTGACGATCTTAAAACGGCCAGGAAGTGTAGGTTGGAAAACTGTGTCAGCCGTACTAGAGTGAGATGCGAAAAATGCGATGTATATTTATGTCTATCTAAAAACAAAAATTGTTTCAAACATTTTCATTGTGACGGATGAAGATTATTTGAATAAATAACACTGATTTTTGCTTTAAAAGTTACTTTTTTTATTAATTAAAGACAAAATCCGAACCTGCACAATTGTGTAGGTTTAGTTAAAAATTACTGCAGTAAGCCCGAACCTACACAATTGTGTGGGTCCTCTGGCAGCTTAATGCAACATGCGGAATTTTTTAAAATATTTTTTTTCAATCAAATATGATCCTATTAGTAAGGGAAACTTAAAAAAATTTAAAATTTCCATCAAAAACTTTTCAGGTCGTAAAGGGATAAGTATTTAAAAAAAAGTATTAAACATATCCTTCCATTAATTTCTCCAACTATTAAACTGTCACAGTTACAGTTTTATACGCTCAAGAAATCGAATAAAATAAATAAAATGCGATGCAGTAGAGTCGTGGGACAAGTAATTTGCGTTATCATTTCTAGAGAGGGAATAAAATATAGAAATGCAATTTTGAAAGAAAAAGAACGATGTTTGTATAAAGATATTGTCATGCGAAACTCCAGAAAGAATAACATCACACTGAAATGCATATAAAAATTCTACAAAATGGATATGTTTGAGGTAATTTTTCCAAAAAAAAACTACTTGACTTGGTTTCAAAGTATTTTTGTTTAAATTGTTATGGCGCGCATTTCAACAAAATTCTTCTTCCTTTGATTTTTGTTATTAATTTTTTATGCAAATCCCTGTTTGGTTATTAAAACTGGCTATAATGTAGTTTTTCTCAAGAATTCTTAGAATTTTTTTCAGAAAACGTTTTTTTTAGCTCTAATCGTTTCTCTGTGGCGTATATTTTAACAGGCTGGTGCTTGGGCATGCTTTATTGTTGATTGTTTATTAAGTTTAGTTTTTGAAATTTTTTTAAAGCAGTGAGAGATTTTCAACTGATTAGAAAATACTCAGAACTGGTTTCCATATTTTTTAATCTTTATAATCTAAGCTTTAATGGAAGATCTTTGAAAAATAATTAAATTAATCAAGGAATTACATAGTTCTACGTCCATTTTTACTTTAACCGGGTGTTTTCCTTTCCATTTCTATAATTCTTTGATCTGTTTAATTTAGTTTTGTATACCTTTTAGAATTTTATACAACTTCTGCTTAATGAACAGTGCGTTAAGAAAATATAAAATTATTAAAAAATTGCTTCATTTGTATGGAATATTTTATTTTTGCGAGCGTGTCTAAATGTGGTAGATTTACATTTTCTACACTAATTAAAATTATAAAGATTCAGTTTCATTTTAATGAATTTTCATTGATTTTTCAAAAAGTGTGTTTTGAAAATCAAAAGATCTGCTGAATTTTCTCCACTAATAAGAAGAGGTTCAATAATGGTCTGGGAAGCTTTTAGCCACGAAGAACTGTAAAATTTGCAGTAAATTTCAGGACGTTTGAACTGATCACTAAATGCTATATAACCTTCTCATATTACTTAATCCCGTATTAGATATAAGAAATGAATGAGGCCTCGTTTCATGAATGTAGATCCATGCAGGAATGGTTTTAAAAAGAAAAAGTCAATATTTCGCCATGGTCAATTCAGACCTGCACCCAATATTATGTCGCAATTGTGCATATAATAAACAGTTTTTATTTGTGAAAAAGCAAGAGTTCAGCATTTTTCAAATTATAAAGGAATGGTATAATATTTCTTCAAATCAGAGTGTTTGAGGTAATTAAAAAAACGGAATGTAGTTTTAATATTTTCATTGGTCTTAAACAAACTTACATATATCTTTATTTACAAAACTTTTATTCATTTAATCAGTATTTGTATTACTTGAGAATATTTACCTAATTATAAAAAAGTATGTTGCAAAATTCGTGTGTTTAAGTTGTGATTAGAATCATTATTTACTCCGTAAGTTAAAAAAAATTAAAGTGGTCCTACAATTTATTAATAGAATCTACAAATTTATAAATAGTACCGTATGAAATATTGTTAAAACAGTTTCAATTCGAAAAAAAAGTGAAGTGTGCACAAAATAGAAATTAACTAATAAATATCAATTTTCGTAAAAATAACTTATTTCACAAATTAACATATGACATATTTGAATAATTTGACAATTTAAACTATTGTAGTAAAATAAATTTTCATACCATCATACAAAAATTTCAATTAATGTTGTTAAAATATTGTGACAAGATTTTATTTGAGAATGAAAAGTAAGTATCAAAAATGTGTGGGATGTTTAAGAGCAATATACTGTTTATTATTATTTATTTTTAGCGTAAAAATATTTTTTCATCGTAAAATCATTTATTTTAATCGCAAAAGGTTTTTGCAAAAAAACTATTTTGTCATATAGGATGTAACTTTAGAAAAGAATTTTTGACATTTTGATAAAGGAAAATAAAATGAAAATGAGCAATATAAAATCAAGTTTTTAATTTTCTGTAAACTTCGCATTTGAGTTTTTATCAACCTTATAAAATTGTGGTAAAAATTTTCAATCAATGAATTGCAATTATAATTAATAAAAATATAAATTAATAAACAATTAATTTACAAGAAATGAACTGATAAAAATTGTTTGTACCTTGCCACCTTTAATTTCTATTTCAAAATTAATGATTTTTTAAAATATTTTTTATTTAATTTAAGAAAATTAAGCAAAAAAAACAAGTAAGAATTTAGAAAACTTCTTTGAAAAATTAAAAATCTTTGAAAAATCGCTTTAGTTTCAGTTTAGAAAAAAAGACATCAAGTCAAACTAATTAAAAATGAACTGAAAAAAAACTGTTTTTTCATTGTCATCTTTAATTTCTATTTCAAAAACTATATAATTTAAAAACTCATTTCTTTTTCAATTATTTTTGAACAAATAAAAATCCTCGAAAATCGCTTTAGTGCCAGTTTAGAAAAACGACATCAAATCTAAACGACATTAAATCAAACTGATAAAAGATGAATTGATAAAAATTGTTTCTACTTTGTCATCATTAGTTTCTATTTCCAAGTCATTTAATTTCGAAAAATCATTTATTTCTTCCAATTTTGAAAACTTTTTGAAAACTTTTCATAATTGATTTACTTCCTGTTTAGAAAAAACCACATCAAATCTATTTTAACATAAGTGATTTAGAAACAAGGACTTAACAAAAGACAGTAAGGTGCAAAAATCAATTAGGTGCTTATTGTTTTAATCTTATATGTAAGGAAAAAATCTCTTAGCATGTGACATTACGAGCAGATATCTTAGATATAAGCTGGTTTGGGTTAAGAAATGCAATTTTTCTTATGACGATGTTTATCGCAATATGGGAATAATTCCATGTTTTCAACTGGTGCAGTCAGTATTTGATCGATTTACGATATTCGCCAGAAACCTGAAAGGAAAAGAATAAATAAACGCACGTGAGGTGATAAAATTGATCATAAAATGTAGGCGGAACATCAATTTTCTCTCCTTTCCTTTAGCTAAGATTTCTTGATTTCATATTTTTGACTTACAAGCCAAGATGCTCTGGCGTTTGAAGGTTGCATGTTGGTTTACTTTAACCAATATTCAACAACTTTCGTTATTAATGCAATTTGCAAAATGAATGGTTAAGCCTATAATTTTCGAACCATTTATTTTGAAAATTTGTAAGCAAAAATAACGCTTATTTTTTTTTAAAGTTATTTTATACTAAAAGTATTCAAGATTCCGATTCAGCAATATTTTTTTATAAGTCCTTTTTCGGTAGTCAAAGAAAGAACCTCAAAGGCTAGTGGCATTTTAGTGATAAGTTCTGTTTTTCATTCAAAGGTGGTATTTCTACAAAAAATAGTTTATTGGTATTATTTCCACATACGTGCTTTGAACGTTTCTAGATTTTTCACTAGATAGGAGCATGAGTTCACTAGATTTTCTATATTTCTAAAGTCCATTTTTATCTGTCAAAAACTTCAAATTAAAACTATGACATTCGAATAATAATGAGATTTTAACTAATTGAAATTAGTGTCTTTTGTAAATAGTATCCATATCATCCTTAATTCTTTTCGATTCGTCATTTTTCTTAGTTGAAGGGCTAGTGAGAATCTAGCGATGTATTCCGTATTTTTTTCATTTGTGGTATTTCTAAAATAAATAGTTTAGTATTATTTACACACAAGTATTTACACGTGCCTAAATGCTTCACTAAATAGAAGCACAATGCACAGAAACATCTATTATATTACATCGAAGTCGAGGTGTTGTTAAAAGGAAATGCTTTCATAAAACAATGCTGTGAGAAATTTAAAAATGAAACTTGTCATTGCATTGCCCGAAGCTTTTCGAATGGTTCAATAGAAATTAAATTTTCTTGATTTATAATTAAAGTTTAATAATAATGCCAAGTTTCCGTTATCAAATTATGTCTGACTAATTTTGATTAAGTCGATTAAATTAAATTAAATTAATCGTATTAAATTTAATTTGCAATGTGTATCATATTATTTTTGTAAATAATATTAAATTTAGTTTGGTTTATTGTCTTAAAATTAGTTAGATATTTTAAATGAGATGAATTGTAGTTAATTATTTCAAGTTTTATTTAAATAATTCAATCTAATAAATATTGACAGCGTTTATTGCATTTATTTTGATTTGAAATTGCAGCAAATACAGTTTGATTTATTGTAATAAATATTTTTATTTTACTTTAGTAAAATCACTATAAGCATATGCAGCTGTGTAATATACAAGTGTCCAAAAATACAGGTTGGCCATAATATGACTTCAATTAATATCTTTCTTTTAATAAGGAATAAAATAAGAAATTATAGAGCACTAGGTAGGATCATGGAGCTATAATAGAGTTAGAACAAGAGGCGTTGTTATATTTCTTCATCTTTTCTTAAATCACGTAATTCCTCTCTTTAAGCAATTTTGACGGAGAAATAAGGGCATCATTCAACAAATAAGAGGAATTTCCTTTTCTGAAAGCTTCGTGTTTCATGCGTTTAAAAGCAAATAAGGTAAGTTTAGGACTTTAAGGGTATAAGTTCAAGGTTTGCGAAACAGTAAGATATTGATTCCTTTATTCAACAAAATTTAAAACTATTTTACACTGAGAAAAAATAAAGTATAGTCAAAACTACCAGAGTATGGTAAAATTTACTGTCTTTCTTGCTCTAGGTAAACGCTAAAAAGCTGATAAATTTCTACCGAAGTGCACTGGTAATGATTTTGGTAAATTTAACAAATAAAATAATGTAATAAATAAAGTAATGTTTTAAAATACATGATAAAATTTGTTTAATGTTGTAAAATTTGATAATTTTATCAGA